CCTACACGTATGGAGTTAAGTGACAGACGTAACTCTTGCCTCGAAGGCACATACATACGTACATACATACATACGTACATACATTAAATGCAAAGGGTTGATGCGAATCCCCACATATAATGAAAGCGTATCGCATAAATGAACATATATATATATATATATATATATATATATATATATATATGCGTAAATATATACGAACATATCTCATCAATGAACCTATATGAACATTTATCTTGAATGAACATATATCGGTGTATATCGTAAATGAACCTTTACGAACATTTACAATTAATGAATATACATTAACGTATAGCATTAATGAATTTATATTGAAAATTTATTATGAATGAATGTATAACGTAAATGAACTTATAAGAAAATATATCATTAATGAATGAATATATTATATATTAATGTATCACATAAACTAACCTATACGAGAATTAACGATGAATGAATATATATGTGTATGCGTTAATATGCATAATATGAATGAATTTATACGAAAATTAATAATGAATGAACGAACGAACGAACGAATGAATGAATGAAAATTTATTAAACGTATATCGTAAACGTATCAATACGAAAATTAATCATGAATGAAACTCTAACGTAAATGAATCTATAAGAAAATTTATCATTAATGAATGTATATATATATATATATATATATATATATATATATATATATATATATATATTAATGCATAACATAAACGAACCTATACGAGAATTAACAATGAATGAATATATATGTGTATGTGTATATGTTAATGTGATAATATGAATGAATTTATACGAAAACTTATAATGAACGAATGAATGGAACGAATGAAAATGTATTAACTTATACCGTAAATGTATATAAATGAAAATTAATCAGGAACGAATATATAAATTAACGTATAACATAAACTAACCTATACGAAAATTAATCAAAATTAACGAATATAAATTAAAGCATAACGTTAAACGAATCAATATGGAAAATATTTCAATATCAAATATATACAATTTGTATACGATTAGAAAGAATTGTGAATATGGATTAGTATCATTAGATGATAGATTTAAGATAAATCGTTCGGATATGATGATACAAATGAAAATTTTATTTAAATGATTATACAAAAGATATATAGAGTTTCTTCTTCTCCTTCTTCTTTTTCTTCTTCTTCTTCTTCTTCTTCGTCCTCGTTCGTCCCGAACGCGGAGCGCGTTAATTACGAGCGGCTTCCGGCGATCTAGATTTCATTCTTTCCTCTCTCCGCAGTTAGGCCTCGGGAAATGATAATAGGTACGTGACCCATGTGGTCAGTTCACACGCGAAAGGAGAGTAACGACGAGTAGCACGAGGGACTCTCCTCACCTCACTTCTCCACTTTGCCTTCTCTTTTCTTCTAACCTAGGTCTTCCCTCTCATCCTTCTCCTTATCCTCATCGTTCTCCTTCTCCTCCTCCTCCTCCTCCTCCTCTATCAGCTGAAAGGCCTCCGTTACCATTGGCGGCGCGCGTGCAACGCAAACTCCAAGTACGTTCGTCGTCGACGTTCCAACTTCTTCCATAATGCGCCTTGTACTCTCCCACACTCGAGGAGTCTCACGCCCTCACATCCTCCTCCGCGCCACCGCCTTGTGGAAGCGAGCCTCCGACGTTTCACGTGCCAACCTCCTCCTCCTCCTCCTCCTCCTCCTCCTCCTTCTTCTTCTTCTTCACCTCCACCATCTCCCACTTTGTCTCCGACCAAAGTGATCTCGAAAACTAGATTTAGAGCTTCTTAGTTTCTTCGTTTCTTTCCTTTTTCCCCCTTTCTTTCTTTCTTCCTTTTGCCTCTTTTTTATCCTTTTCCTTTTGTTCATATTTTCTTATTTTCATTTTTTTTTTTTTTGTAATTTATTCATCACCATACATTTTCATTTCTTTCGATTCGTGTTAATGATAATGACGATGATGTTGTGATATGCGATAATACGATATCGTCATAAATTTTCGTGTTTTCTTTTCTTTCTTTCTTTTTTTTTTGGTTTTTTTCTTTTTTTTTTTTTTTTTTTTTTGCATACGTAACACGTAACGATTAATATGACGGTATGGTCTGATCAGAAGGGAAAAAAGAAAGAAAGAAAGGAAAAAAAAGAGAAACAAAAGAGGTTGAAAAAAAAAATAAAAATGGGAAAAAAACAACATAGTCATCGTTCGACGGACGGAAATGATCGTAAAGATCATCTTATGTGGTTTACCTCTAACTGAGTAAGGTGGTGATATCACGATGAAATATAATGCCATAACGTAACGATATTTACAATCGTTACCTTATATTACCTACGTTGAATCGATCGTAGGAAAAGGTGGTACAAAGATATTTGACAATGTATAGAACATTGTTATTTATTGCAAAGCGATCGAGCGTAAAGATCGGCCATTGTTCTCGACGAACGCTTAATATCAGCTTCCGAGAAACGCGAGAGAGTCGATAACGAATCATCCTCTTTCCTGAGACTTCGAAGACACCCGGTATGTTTTACTAGGTGAGAATAAGTACTTACTTACTTGGGAAAGCTAACAGTTTGAGTAAAAAGAAAAGGAAGTAAAAAAAAAAAAAGAAAAAAAAGAAAAAAGAAAAGAAAAAGAATTATATATAAAGAAGAACGTGAGTGACCGGACACACGTTTCTCCCTACTGTATAAGTACTTACTTATTTACGTGTATATTTGTATGTGTATGTGTGTGTATATATATATATATATCTGTATGTGTATGCGTGTGTATGTGTGTGCTGCTTTTGCACTGACTCTTATCTACGATCTCTCCTCGTTTCGTCTTGTGACACCAGGCAGATTATACTCCATTTCATTAATTTTAATCGTCAGCGTTCTCTCGTGTTTCCTTTTACGTTTCAATTTTACTCCATCCAAATGATCTTTCTATTCGCTTTTATATTTCGTGATATACGATGACATATAGGTATTTCGTGATTTCTCTTTCTTTTTGCTTCTTCTTTTTCTTTTTCTTCTTCTTTTTTTTTTTTTTTTTCTTTTTAATGATCCGTAAACATCGATTTATGGAGATCAATTAAATTAAAATTTAATTGCAAGAGAGGAATTTAATTAGAAAGAAAGAGAGAGAGAGAGAGAGAGAGAGAGAGAGAGAAAGTGTGGGAAGGGGAAGAATATTAAGTTTATCAATCGCTAATTGATGATAATTGGATTGTTTAGATGATCGGAATACTACGGAGAATTAAAATAAGTAATTGCCTGTCAATTTTATTGATATTATCGAATATGCTATTTGATAAATCATTTTTATCGACTGGAGACGTAAAAATTTACTATTCCAAATAAATTTATATATATATATATATATATATATATATATTTATATATACATAGTTAAGTATGTGTGTGTGTGTGTGTATTTTTTTTATTTAAACAATTAAAAGAATAATATAAATATTGATCGTTCGATCAAAATTATCTCTTAATTAATCGAGATTTTGTTCTATGGATAATCAACGAAAATAATGTAAACATTGATATTCATATTATAAATTTTGTTTGGACTTATATGAAAAAAAAAAAAAAAAAAAAAAAAAAAAAAAAAAAAAAAAATCCAAATATCTCTATCCGTCGTATGAAGAACAAACTGTGAGTGTACGAAAAAAAAAAAAAAGAAAAAAAGAAAAAAAGGAAAAAAAAAAAAATAAACGAATAAATAAAATTGACGAAAAAAAAAAAATTAACAAAAAAGAATTAACAAAAAAAAAAAAAAAGAAAAGAAGAAAAGAAAAGAAAAGAATTACGTCTTACGACACCGACACGTAGGTGCGTACGTGCGAGTGATTAAAAATATTTGCAAATATTTTCCAATATATTTCAATGTAAGAAATGAACTAATACATAGAACTAATACATAGAATGAATAAGAATGTAAGTAAGAATGAATAAGAAAATTGACATTAGAGTTCGGCGCGCAGCCGCGTAACAAGCGTTACTCGGCGTCGCGAGGATACTCGCGCGGCGTGGTTACTTTATTAAGGGCATTCCTGACCCCGTGGCACGACCTATACGAATACGCTAAGAAAAATCCGCGACGTACAGAGAAAGTTCTCGATGGCTCTGTGAGAAACTGGCCCTGCCTGACTCCACTTGTGCTGCCGCCTTATGCTTGACTCTGTTGCTTTAACTCTCTTACTTCATTCTGCCTGCACCTTAGACGAGTATCGCCCTCCCCTTCTCCCAACCCCCCTTCTCCCGTTTACCTCCTCCCTCGCCATCTCGGTGCCCCCCCTCCCTCACCCCTCTCATACGACTTTCGTTACCGATACACGCAAAAACATTTCCAACTAGGCTCGTCCTTTTTGCACAAATAACAACAACAACGACAACAACAGCGACAAGGATAACAATAACAAACGACTATCGCGAAAGTTGGGTCAACGAAGACGTTCCGAATGTCTTCTGATAATTGATCGTAGTTGATTATGAAATAAACAAAAAGGAGAAATAAATAAATCAATCAAATAAATAATAGGAAAAGAGAACAATTGTGTTTGTGCAAGAAAGAAAAAAGAAAAAAAAAAGAGAAGAAAGAGTGGAAAGGAAAAAAAAAGGAAAAACGATAAAAGAATTTCCAGATTTCAGATTCAATGAATTCTAATTCAACGAATAATAAAGAGACAAATTTATAAAAAATCGATTCGTTTTAATATAATTACAATTAAAGATTCATCATTTTAATCCTAATCATCGATCGATATAATTCATAAGAGAGGTGGATGATTTGGGGGGGAGGGGAGGGGAGGGGAGGGGGAGTATTTAGATGAGAGTTAAAAAAACGAAACAAACCAAAAACCAAGGGAAACAAAAGGAAATGAAAAATAAAATGAAAAATGATCGATTACGAAATAACAATTTCAAGATGAATAAATTTATTAATCGATTAATTAACGAAACTACGTTATAGTATGGAATAGTACATACATATATATGTATGTATGT